TCATACAAGCGCGCGCGCGCGCGCGAGTGTCGAAACCTCGACCGTGGCAGTGCAACAATGCCATTGTTCAACGACAGAAATAGGCAATTCATATGTGTTTCGTTCGGATCAAGCTCGACGAGGTGAATGGAGGTTTTAATTAATGCTGCACGGGCCGGGAGAGAATACATTGTGCTAATGAACGATCAACATCGGTGCTAATGATTTGTACACGCGCCACACTTCTGTCTGGGTCTTAGTATTCGGTTCAATAAGCGGAATAATAATTTATTATTTATAAATGACGAAAGAGAGGATAATGAAGATACGTATCGAACGGTTCCACATAGCTCGTGCCGGTAATTACCGTGAAATATCGTTCGCAATACCGACGCGTGTATTTATCGGATAAACGTAATTATATCCTTTAATCCTAAATCGTCTATCCATTGAACTTCGTTGCGCGAGCTTCAGAAGTGTAACGTGGCCTTTGAAGGGTTCTGTCCTTCCCCGATGGATTTTCTTTACGCTTACAATCGAAAATCCAGTTTTCGTTTCACTTGTAATCAAATCCATTTTTCGTTTCTTTCGTCAAGTAAAATAATTGCGATCGCATATTTTGGGTCATTGCTCGTTGATTACGAAAGTGAACTAAATAAAATGTGATCGTGTTGCTAGAAAGGCTAGAAGCGGCAAGGCTCTCGCGAATTGCAGTCTAATATTAAAATCATACGTTTTGTTAGAAAAAAAAAGAAAAAAATAAGTGTCTTGATTTTCCGGGACATTCCTCAAGTTATTTCTTCGCGAAGAAATATAATATTTCATCAGAAATACGGTAATAAATCTCGCGTCTCTAGATAATAAATCTCTAGATTGTTATAACGCTGTTGCAGACGTATCTAAGTTCTCCTCTCCGCGCCTTCGGTATATCGGTGTGATTTCCCTTTTTCACTCCGCTCTCCCTCGCTCGCCTCCACCGTTCATTTTGTGGAGCAGCTTTAGCGAGCAAAAAGTCGAGCGGCACGCTCACCTAAGTGACCATTACACGACGGCTTGGTATACTCCTCCGACCGAGATCTCCGGAGAGGCAGGCCTTTCTGATTTTCCTTTTGTCGGTTTCACCCGTCGCGATCCGGTATAGACTCCGGTCCGCCGCCGTACGTGGCGCGATGCAGGATTCTCTCGTGTGCCTCTCCGTCTCGTTCCTCGCGAAACGGGTATATCAGCCGGCGCGGATCAGTGTCGCTTTATTTTCACGAGTCATGAGAACGTATGCAAATTAATCTGTCAACGCGCATTCCCACAGCTTCATTAGGCGGCCCGTGCCGCCCGGACGCCTGATTCCCATTCACTATACTATACGATATGAGAAACTGACAGCCGGCAGACGACACATTGGGCCGCGCCGGCTTCTTTTGCCTTCTTCCATCGCAAAGTAGCATCGGTCCAGAACTGGGTCGTAAGGTCAGGCCATGCTCGCCGACCCAATCGCCGATTGCTTGGCCCCGCGAAGAGAGAGAGAGAGAAAGACAGCCGTTAACCCTGTCCGAGACGGTAAAGAACGTCGGTAATGAATGACCGAGTTGTCTGCGGTCTTCGTCTCCGGGAGGCAATCCTCATTCCTATACATGTATAAATACCTCCGTAACCGAGCGTCGAATTAGAATTTTGTGGAAGTTTTAATGCCTCCTCTTCACACGAACAATTAACTAGAGAATACGATTGAGTCTGCCACTGAAACCCCGTTACCTCGCCGGTAATGGAAAACCATACGTATACATATACGCGTGCCACGTACGACATCTCGGCTGTCTGGAGAAAAATCGAGTCCGCAAGTTGGCCACCGGGGTCCGCCATTAAAAAAATAATGCGGCAGAAGTGGGACGCCTTGTGTGACGCGACATAAAATTCACGCGTAGTCATTGCAAATACGTCGCTCGAGCAAATACACGCCAATAAGTGCGCTAAGAGGGTTAAAGTGTCACCATTTTCCAGTCGATTCGCGCGCGGCCATCTATTGTACACGGAGACAGTCCACTTCCTGCCTGTTTTATATATTGCAGCGGAATATATTGAGGAAAAACCGTAAATTGCTCGCGACGGCCATTAAAAAGACATTTCAATCAAATGCGATGAACGTTGCAGTTTCGCGGCGCGTCTCGGGAAATCCGACGAGATACATAGGGAACGATTTTATAGGACGGCGCGAATGATAATTTTCATTCGCTGACCGTCGCTAAATGTAAAATTATCCCGAGATTGCGTATCCGCGTGCGTAATGTCGTTGGGAATTCTACGAGTCATCCTCGATGATTATAGTATTCTTCAAAAAGAAGGACGGGAATTGTAAAGTTCAGCGAGGTATTCTTTTTTACATTCTCTTCGCGCAGAAAGTGCATGTGATATCTGAATCATCTCGAAGAACACAATAGAATTCGCTCATAAATAAACACGAAGCGCCTCTTCCAACGCTAGCCGATATGCAAATCCATGATCCGTATATCTTTAAAAGCACAATAAATAATTATACATTCTAGCATTAAATGCCTGATTGTGAGATCTTTCAATGAATTTCGTCGCGGTATTGTTTTGCAACAAACTTTAGCGGTGTCACACAAATGGCACAATTTGATGAAACGTAGAGGAGAAGTTTAAATTAATCGCTACACGCGTTGCTGATTCAGTACATTTTACTTTCTCTAGGACATTGAGAGAGTGAGATTTTACTCTGGATTTAATAGAAACGCGATTTAACTCTTCTTAATTTTTCATCAAACGTAATGCCTTCATCGCGTCACGTTTAATCGAAATTGACTTTGTCGTTTCGTAATAGCGAACGGCAAATACAAATCCTTGGCGAATTATGCATATATCGTTGAACATCAAACGCACTTAATGCATTTTCACCAAGACTCCGGCACGGCTTCAGCCTACGAGGTTTTAATTACAGACGTGTGTTCGCCGTTGGGCAATCACCCGTCTTCTGTTAACATTTTCAGTGGCATCGAGTTGTGCGTGTAAAAGGGGAAAAACATGGAAATCACCGCGATTTAAATTAAATACGTTCACAGCGACTTTAATGGCACGTTTACTGACACGCACGATCGCAGTTGCGTGTTCTACCAGTTGCAATCTTTTATCGATCTTTTTTTTTTAATGTAAATTATACGTTATATTATATATTATGAATATGTATATAAAGTTCGTTCGTATTTGCTGCGAGCACCTAACGCCGCTGTAACGTTCGAAGTAGGTTTACAATGATTTAAACAAGACGTTATTACGTTTGCGATCACTGAATAGTAGGTTTACAATTTAACACTTGGACGCAATACTCACTTTACTACGTTAAAAATGTCTTGGCGATTCACCCGCGATTGCTTTTATCAATTATTTTGCAATCTTCTCTTCTGAAGAGAAGTACATTAGCTTCTTCGCATGAAGCTTGTTTCATTAAAACTCAATCATTACTACTCGAAGCGTTTGTTGAAAAACAAATAATGGCTCGAGAGCTGACAAAAAGAACCTGTTACGGATTTTTAGCACCACTGCATGACGTTCGAGATTACAATGAATAGCTTTACAATGATTTAAATAAGATGTTATTACGTCTGCCTCTAGCAATCATTGTCTAAGTAAGAGACGTATTATTTACTTTATTACGCTAAAAATATCTTTGCGATTTATCCGATTGCTTTTATCAACTACTCTGCAATTTCCTCCTCTGAAGAAGAGAAATAAATGAGCGTCTACGCCTGAAGCTTATCTTGTTAAAACTCGACTTCTCACTCGAGGCGTTTATTAAGAAAAAATGGCATGAGATCTAGCATACTACAAAAGATTGCAAGATTAGTAAGTTACGTTTGTCAATGTCTTTATCTGATCATCTGATTAACATCATCTTATTTGATGACAGTGCACCAGCTGTAGATTATTACATTTGCCGATGTCTTTATCTGATCATCTGATCGAACATCTTATCCGATGGCAGCGCACCTGCCGCTACAGATTATAATTGAATTACGGTAGAACTGATAATAATGAGCATTGGAGCCTAAAAGCGGGAATACCTATGATTTTATCAAGTGTAAAATATTGCCATAGCGTTCCAGGAAATTGTTATTCAGGCGTTATGCTAATAACGATAGCGGGCCGCGTGCTGTGGACCGGGAAAGCCGTTACGAGTATTCGCATGAACGTACCGAAACGCTGTTTAAGCATTAGATAAACCCCATTTTAAGAATTAAGGACTCGGAACATATCTTCTCAAAACACGGCTGACGATGTTCAGTTTCACTCATTGGCTTCTAATAGCGAGTGATTCTTTAATTAATTATTTAAATTTTCACACGTTAATTAATTTAGAGGTGTGCAAATCAAGCATTTGCACGGTCGAATTGAATCGAATCGAATCTCTTTAATTCGAATACGAATCGAATCTGAATCAAATTTTCCCAGATTTACATTGCATGTTAATTTAAACGTAATAAATATCAAAATTTATGAATTACATTATTTTACGCAATGATTTAAACAAATTGAACCTGTTTTCGATTTGCAAAGGATCACGATCTTATGTGACATTTAGAATTAGAAAATATGTAATTAATAATATGTGTATGTATATACGTGTATGTATATACACGAATAGTTCAAATATTTTCTATATTAATTTACATGAATACATTACATAAAATCAAAAAAACTTATTTATTAGATAAGAAAAATTGATCGCGCGGGAGATATGAATAAAGCAAATAAAATAGGTGATCGATTCGAAATCGAAATATTGTTGATTTGAAATTCTCAAACTATTTGATTTTGAATCTTACAGATTCGAAAACGAATTCGAATCGAATCTACTGTGATTCGATTCGATTCGATTCGAATTTGAACTATTCGCACTGCGCACACCTCTAAATTAATTCTATCTCTTAACCAAATTTATTATTGTAAAACGAAGCGAAGTGAAGTATATTTATACCTGCAGTCGTTTCATTATGTAATAACGCATATTTCAGCAGAACCCGTTGCGGGACAGGTGTTCTCGTCCTTCGACGAAAGTTCAGACGAAAAGTACGACATGGAAATCTTTCGCGCGGTCGTCGAATCAATGAGGCAATGGACGCTTCACAAAAAGCTCAATCACAGAGGAAAAAGAGAGGTGTCCAAGGTTTGCTATGAGGACATCGGGTGCTTCGAGGATACCGGACCATTCAGTTATCTGGAGATGCTGCCGTCACCGCCGAAGGATGTCGGAACTAGGTGAAAAAACAAGAGAAGATTATATCTGATAGCATCCGCAAGAAACGCGATGTGCTCGTGTGTGTGTAAACTCTGTTACGGAAAATATCTGATATTACGGTGATATGTTTGCGTGAGACGATGACTGCGATATATAAAATATGTTTATCGTCGATAATTGCATATAATCGGTCTCCTTCGACAGATTCCTCGTGTACGGAAGCAGAAAGGCAAGATCGATCCCCATGGAGGTGCCCGCCGACGACATAAACGACAATGCTCACCGTGCCATAGATCCCAATCTCCCGACGAAAGTGATCGTTCACGGATTTGGAAGCGACTGCAACCACTTGTGGGTTTACGATATGCGATCGGCGTTAATGAGCATTCACGATTGCAATATAGGTACTTATGTAACGAAATATACGTAACCATTTAAATGGCCCCGTGTCGTGCCGATCTTAAATCTGGCATACATCTTTTAATTCGTACAAGAATTTGCTGAAAATCTAATCGATGTTTCTGTATTTATTCCATAAAATTACGTAAAAAGAGTGGAAGATGTATCTCCATTTTATTAATATTGTATTATTTATTAATAATTAATTTATAATTAAATTATTTTCTATAAATAAATTTCTTTTATAAATTTATTAAAAATAATAAATAAATTTATTTTATTTTCTTCGACGATAATAAACCAATTGTAAAGCTTGTATAATTTATACATGCGTAATTATGCTGTTTGCGCAATGAGATACTACAGCTACAATTTAACCCGCTAATATACATTTGTTTTTTTCTATTTATGAATAGAATATAATTAAATAATAATTAAATAATCGTGACATAATCTTAGATATAATCGTTTTCCTCATCGAATATTACCTACATAACTACATTCCATTCTAGTTTGCGTGGATTGGGGACCCGGTAGCGCGGTACCCAATTACGTAAGGGCGGCGGCCAATACACGATTAGTTGGCCGACAATTGGCAAAGCTAATCCGCAGCTTAAACGTGCCGCTGGAAAAGGTGCATATGATAGGATTCAGTCTGGGAGCCCACGTGGCCGGATTCGCCGGTGCTGAGCTCGGAAATGTGTCCAGAATTACCGGTAAGGCGGTCAAACAGTCCATGCTTGATCCTCGCGATCTTATCGTGTAAACTCGTGTAAAATGAGCAGTACGTACATTTTACGTAAATCGACAGCTATATAAATAATTATGCTCTCGATGAAGCTGTAATGTGTGCGAATCAATTCTTTAGATATGTAATTTTCCTCGTCTTCACAAAAATAAGATTGTCGATATTCATAGTTGATTTTTATAATATTTGAGTCTTAAATACAGTCTTAAGATCTCATAAGCCAATCCACAGAGCCGTATTTTTAAGACATTACTTAAGATAATTTTGAAATAAGAACCGATTATGAATAAACCGAGCTAAATCTCTTTCTAAGTGTCTTTAAATATGGGGATGCAAATTAATGATTGTGATGATAGATTTAGTGTGATAAGATCTACGGAGAAATTTTTTTGTTGCAAAGTAACTTGTTGTTTGAGACAATTTTGAAACAAGAACCGATTTTGAATGCCGAGCTAAATCTCTTTCTAAGTGTGCCTTTAAATATCGGGATGCAAATTAATGATTGTGATGATAAATTTAATGTGATAAGATCTACGGTGAAATTTTTTTATTGCAAAGTAACTTGTCATGAAGAAATTTTGACAATTTCTTCATAAATTTGACAAAATATTTTTGACAAAAGTTAAGAAAAAGAATTTAAATCTGTGTTTTAAACGTACTTTTATCGACTATTTTTATCTAACAAAGAGAAAAAAAATTATATTCAAACAATATGTTTTCTAATAGCGCGTTTATCGTGACGAATTTATCAACTATCTTGCGTGGCGCATTTGCGACAGTCACTGACTCTGACGACATTGCAACTCAGGTTCATTGTATTCGTCCTGCATTGACTCGAAGCGTCGACGGTATAATCTTCGTGTGAATTTCTCGTGCGCAAAACGCATCGACGCTCGTAATCGTCGACCGATCGCGCGCGAGCTCGGCCGTATAATCGATTATTATCATTAGAGAGTAACTGTAACAAGGTCCCGCTCTCGGCAACCATTTTGATGCCATTTAAATGCCCGCTGCATTCTATGCCTCTTACCTCGACACGCGCCGATGCCTTTTGATTAAATACCAGCACGGTGAATTGTCGATCGTGAGTTTTTTTTTTTCTCTCTCTCTTTACTAGTTGGATACGCGTAATCGGGCATCTCTTTCCCCGGGGTTTCGAGCAAAATGGGGGACGCGGCATTTCTCGAATCCCTCGGATTATTAGAGCAAACGATGGTCCTTCCGCCACCGGCACGTTTCACGCTTTTTCGACGCCGCTTCGCGTAGAATTGAGAAACAATACTTTTCGTAATTCGTCCCTAATTCGTCGTCACGAGCATTTTATCGGCTTCAAGGCGAATTACGGTTTTTTTTGTCCGTCGCGTGCCTATTAATCGTGATCTCTCTCTCTCTCTCTCTCTCTTAATATTTTTGCGCGGATTTCGCAAATTAAAGAGAAACGAGTATTTCTCAAAGTCGGTAAGTTGTGCCCTTTTATCATCGTTTCACGCTTTTTCAAGGCTGCCTGTTTCCCGTAGAGTATTACAAAAAAATAATTTTCGCAATTTCGATTTCCCGATTCGATCCGTATACGTTCACCATCGCGGAGGCGTGTATAATAAATGAATAATCGGTTACGCGCGGCGCGCTAAGTAAAAGCCTGTAATCTGATAATAATCCACGCACCTGCAGCAGCAACCGGTTGATATTTTTACAACGTCGTCATTTACTGCATTACCAGTAATTCAGCATCCGTAATGCTGGCTGACTCTGTGGGAAACTGAAACGAAATTTCCTCTAAAATCTGATAACAAACTTGGCGAGAACGCTTGCGCGGAGACCGTTACTTCCCTCGCAACTTTCCAGCTCATGTCAATGATACTTCTCTGTTTTCTACACTTCTACAGTCATTGTCGTAAGCATTATATGAGAAATCCGCATAGATAAGGATTACGAAATACAAAATTCCGTTTTTCGTACGCGAATATAGGACTGGATCCCGCGGGGCCGCTCTTCGAGTCGCAGGACCCGAGGGTACGTCTGGACGCGACGGACGCGAATTTCGTCGACGTTATTCACAGCAACGGCGAGCAGCTCATCCTGGGCGGGCTCGGCTCCTGGCAGCCCATGGGCGACGTGGACTACTATCCGAATGGCGGAAAAATGCAAAGCGGGTGCTCGAACATCTTCGTCGGCGCCGTTAGCGACATCATCTGGTGTAAGCTCAGTGCTCATCTCGAGCGTATCCGATATATAAAAGAAAAAGATTAAAGTACAAGGTGACGAGAATCTCTATTTCTTACGTAACAATGCGATCGTTACAGCGAGCGCGGTCGAGGGCAGATCGTTGTGCAACCATCGGCGGGCGTACAAGTTCTTCACCGACTCCGTGAGCCCGAAATGTCGTTTCCCGGCGTTTCCCTGCGACCACGGTTACGAGGGCCTGCTGAAGGGTGACTGTTTCCCCTGCGGCAACAACGGCGCGGATCGGCCCTGCGGCGACATGGGCTATTACAGCAACGAATCGCCTGCTAGGGGCCAGCTTTATCTGGTGACGAGGGACGAGGAGCCTTTCTGCGCTCATCAGTATCAGATCAAGGTGTACAACAGCCGGAGCGAGAGATCCGCCAGGAGCTACGGCAAGCTTCAGGTGAGCGCTCGGGACGAGTCTTTTTCGGCAACGACGAAGAGCGACGCAGATACGATTTCTCTCTTGCAAATTTGCTCATATTATTTATTCATATAATTTGACTTTTTTTTGTCGCAAACAATTCTCACGAATCTATTTATTTCCTCAAATAGCATTTCTTTGTCTTATTATTAGATTAAATTTGGAAAGTTCTAAAGTCTTTTTCGTGGCGGTATCTTACGGATTTCTTTTTTTTTTTCAGATTACACTTGTGGGAAAAGGTTCTTACAACGACACGTTTGCGATGACTCGTAAGGATGAGGAGCTTTTGGTGGGAGCCATTCTTCAGAAAATTGTTGTGCCGCATCCTGCGGTTACTCAACTCGAAGCAATTGAAGTAAGTGCGGTTTGTTAATTATATATAATAATATTTTCATATGTAATATTTTCTGAGAATTAAATGTGGTATATTAATTGCATTTTCATTCTGAGAAATAAATTTCTTGACTAAAACTTTTTGAAGGAAATACTATAAATAATATTATAATTGTTAATTTACATTTGAAGCGTCAGAGACTTTTCTTTTCTGAAATCAGAGTAAACCTACGGAATACCTACGTATACAGAATTGCAAATACTAAAAATAGAAAATTGACATTGCGCGTTGCTACTGTACATCGAATATATGATTATTTCAACAACGTTATGTTAACAGATCAAATACACGGCGTACAGCGGCTGGATATCGTCCGGCTTGGTGACCTGGACCATCGACAAGGTGGCCATAATGGACAGTTTCGGCAAGATTCTGTCGGTTTGCAACAAGGGCTTGATTCTGGAATCCGGTCGGTCGGTCTTCCTGCCCCTTTACCCGGGCGAATGCAACATACCTCTGGACACGCTCGACAACTCCACCGTGTCTCCTCCGTCTCCCTCGGTGCCGACGCTCGAGCGCGTGGCGATGGAGGACAGGCAGGGCGGCATAGGGCCCTTCACGAAGGAGCAAAATTACGAGACGAAGGATCCGGGATACTCCGTGGAGATCCTGCCGACGGACAGGACGTCTTCGCAGAAGTCCCGGGGTTTCGGGCCGTTCACGAAGGAGCAGAATCGGCGCGTCGCCGAGGTCGTCGAGACGGCGACGACCTACGATGAGGCGGAGAAGCGGCGCAACGTCGCGAATCCGTGGATCGTCCTCGACATATCCGGCGACGGCGACTCGAACTCGCTGGAGAACGCCGAGTCGGAGCAGGGGCGGAGCTTCTCCGGCGCCGCGGCGAACCTGATCTACCGCGCCTCGACGGCGCCGGAGCGCGTCGCCGAGACCACCGCGACCACCGTCGCCACCACTACGGAGCGGGATCACCTGCCGGAGATCCGGGAACCGGTGCTGCGCCCGAGCAAGAAGGACGCCGGCCGGTCGCTCAAGCTGCCCGAGATCACGGAGCCGATCCTGCGTCCGCGTGCCACCAGGCACAACTCGCGGAACGAGGTGGTGATGAACGAGCAGCAGCAGCAGCAGCAGCATCACGAGAGGCAGCACGACGAGATACAGGAGACGTCGTCGACCTCCACGAGAGCATTCACCGTGCAGTTTCTACCCGAGCGGCTGGCCGGCATCCTGGCGCAGGCGGAGCGATACGCTCGGCAGACCCTGCTGCCCCTGATCTCGCAGTACACGCCGAGCTTCGTGACCGGCATACGGCAGCCCAACGAGGAGCCCAAGTACTTTCCCCTCTTGAGCGACATAGTGCGAGGGCGAAGCGCCGACAACTCCGCCGAGACGACCGGCAGGACGTCCAGCGTCCGACAACGAAACGGAGATCAGATCGTTCGAGTGGAGATCGGTCCGCGCAAGTCCGACAAGTCGAACGACGGACGTCGTCACGAGGAGTCCACCACGAGCGCGCAAACGGAGAGCGGCAAGGCCGGGCAAGCCGTAGCGAGAGCCGAGGAGGTGTCGCCGATGATAGTCGAGGCTGTGTATCCGGAGAAAATCGCGAACGCCAATTCCACCGGTCTCGAGGCGAGAACGACGGCGAGCGAGAGTAGCGATTGGCGTCCAATGGGTGAACCGCGGGCGACCACCTTGAAGAACTCGCCGTCGCGTAGAGACTCGAACGTTTCGCGATCGCTGGACTGGTCGGTCGACAACAGCCGCGACTGGACCTCGCGAGCGGCGAACGCGAAAACTGTACTCGAGTCTGACGATGACGACTGGGTGCCGATCACGGTCAAGAGCGATCTCGCTGCCTCGACGACCGCGCGAGTCGCGACGTCGAGCGAGGAAACGGCGACGAAGATCGACGCCGTCGACAATTCGCGGAAATCCGCCGAGGGCGGTGTCGTCCTCGACGAGGCGAGAGAGGAAGCCACGACCGTCGCCGCGAACGCGTACGAGAGGAAATTCATACCTCTGGTCGACCCGGAGGCGGCGACGATCGGCGGCCCGTCCTCGTCGACCGACGCAAACGACGTTCCCGACACCACGACGGCTGTCTCGCATATCCAGAAGATCCCGCGATTCAAGACGACAGTAAAAAGTGCCAGAACAATAAACCCCACGATGATGTTCCCGTACGCTTACGAGCGGAAGAACGATCCTAGAACGAGATACATACCGCTGATCCCGGAGGAGGACATGGGCAGGGCTTATCCGATGTCAGAGAGAGATCGTTAACATTACGCCGAAGAACGATTTGAAAAATATGTCTCAGATTTCAAGACTCAGTTTCTTTTTTTTACATTAAAACATTCGCGAAATGCAAGATTCTATCTTCTAAAGAGCACTGTTCAACATTATCTATCATGATCGGGAATCTAACTTTTTATCTCTTCGGCAAAATTCAGAATTCATTTTTATAAGGTCATCTCCTTATTTATTGTAAAAACGACGATGTCAAAAACTCAGAAATCCGTGGGATTGCCGACGTCATGTAGAAAACGGAAAATCAGCAGTAATTTGGATTAGCTTAATCAAGTAAGAATGTCATAATTCGTGTTTTTAAAGGATTATAGAAGCCGTGCGATGTTTTCCCGTTGAATAAAATCGTTTTGTCAGATATAAATTATAAAAAATTGAAGCTACATACATTATGTGAGCGGTTCTTTGTCGACCACGTCATTTCTAAGTTGGAATGATAGTTTGATTTGTAATAAATATTTCTCGAAGTAAATTTTAAAATAAAAATTTCGCGAAGGGTACAACTAATAGTCTGTGATGAGAAATAATGCGATTAATGATTTAAAAAATCAGTGTTCAGACTCTCCCTGTCTCTTGCCTCAAAATTAAACGCGCTATTTCTTGTATGGCGGTGATAAGATGTTAGATATAGAATAAAAACATAATTTTTGTCAAAGTGAAATATATCGTGCCTTATAATAGTTGTATTATCTTACTGACATCAAACTAATGCTTTTTTTTAACAATTTTATAAATGATCCTGTTAAAACTGTAGGAAAGATCGCAAATTTTTCCTTCATTAGGATTGTTAAGACTTTAATGACTTTAGAAAAAAATCTTTAATAACTTTCCTTTTTTTTTTCATAAAAATTGGGAGCCCTTAACTTTATTACCGTTGTATATATATAGGAATTTTTTTACATAGCTATATATATATATATATATAATATATATATATATGTACACAACACACATATATATATATAGCTTCGCCTTTTACTATTAATCATTATAACTATTATTATCATCGCCGTCATCGCCGCCATTAATTCTTTCTTTTTCCACGCTTATTTATGCCCAATCTATGAGTTAGTGATCAGTGACCACGAGAGAATCGGATGTTCACAGCGCTCGCTATTATATATATATATATATATATACATAATTATATATATATATATATATAATTTTTATATGTATATACCTCAACGAGGAGAGCCACGAGGGAACCCGAGATTATCACGCGTACCCTCTTTGTAGTATAATAATATAAAGAGCTAGAAGATACGGGACTACAACAGTAGCAATCGTAGATTCTAGACAACAGTTGAAAAGTATGGAAGAGACGACGTAGATTTATATATAGATATATAATCTTTAATATAACTGTTTTTACTTAAAATAAATAACCCATATCTTTCTTTTTTTTTTTTTAAATGCGCCTCTCGGTCCACTAACGCTCCGCTTTCTTATTTCTCTCTCTCTCTCTCTCTTTCCCTCTTCCTCATTCACGCGACCTCACACTCATAACATGTATCCCGTAAACTCCATCACTCTCCGCAAACCACGCATTTATTGCCCTTTTATCGATCAGGTTGAACCTCAGGATATGCCCATAGTCCTGATATGTCCGCACGCTTAAGAACTAACTCGTTCGCAGTCCTTCCCTCGGTTCGATTGTTCAGGTACCGATTGACGCATCGAGGAGAGAAAGAAGGCCTCGATTCGACGAGCGAAGACTAAACGAAAAAAAAAAAAAAAAAAAAAACGAAGGAAAACTAAAGAAAAGAACGCAAAGAAAAGACACACGGCGCGCATCTCCTATTGTACACGAGGAGGAAGAGACTGCGAATATCGTTGACGCAACTTCGAGCTTCTCTCTATTTACAATACGATAAACCTATTACATAAACGAACGCACAGTCTTATGGAGTAAACCCGTGAGCGAACTTCGACAAGTAAAAAGGTATCGTCACATTAGTCTATCACTCTACGATCTGTAGATTTGGTTCGACTCGCTGTCAGAGCGACAAAACGATTTCACGTTATATATATATATATATATATATATGCGAAAGTCGTAGCTACCTACATAGATATCGTTTTTTGGACGTGTCACTTTCTTTCTGTAAACGCACACACGCACGCATACCCACACACATACACGCGCTCATACACGCCGGGGGGTGCGGCGCACCCGCATTCGCACACCCAGTCTCGCACACGCTCTCAGTCTCACTTTCTTTTTTTCCATTGTATAAATATACCGACGTATTCAAAAACAAAAAGGGAGGAGAAATACCGCGCGCCTGATCTTATCCCGCGCGCTCTCTCTCTCTCTCTCTCTCTCCTCTCTCATTTCACGCTCGCCGTTTCTCAACCTTAAACACTACAAAAGTTTTTTTTTAGCGCTACAACATACAAAAGATAAGGCCGCCGCATTTAATTACACTGACTAGATCAGTTTTATATATTCTCTTTACCAAAGTGGACAAACTCTCTCACGGCTACGCGCAACACGTCAACACGTCAACAAGAATATCCAGGACACGGTGTACCTCCGCCAACGAAAAAAAAATATATTGTGTATATATGCATATACCGTTATTACATCTCCGGCACTTCGTATCCCGAGCTATTAACGCCACGCACACGCGCGGAACGCTGCGAATCGCTTGAAGAAGCACGTAGCGCCAACGTCGATGAACGTCGCGCCGCGTCGACGTCGGGCATACGTCAAAAGACAAAATGAGAATCACTCGCCAACGCGACGTAGGCCTCTGTAGATGCGAAACTTAAGGATCTTTCTCCCGACCTTCTCACTGCAGCATGCTGAACAACGACGTTGGAAAGAGTTAAACAAATTTCTCTCTTGCGTTAGATATCGCATAAATTTTTGCATTTCAGTAGACTAGAATAAAAATGTTTTCTTATCTGACAAAAGTAACTACATATTTCAATTTACATGATTGGTTGATTTGACAGTAATAATAGTTATATACTTTAATCTAAATTAATTTAGATTAAGATATATGTAAGTATTATTTTGTTAATTGAAAGGACAGATTTCAAAACTCTACTATTATATATATATATAAATATGAATGCCTGTATAAAATAAAACTCGAATCATTTTAATATGCACGGCAAAAGTAAATGACTGCAGTAACAGGTCAGCAGATTCTTAGGTACAAAAATAAAAATTAAAAACTGATAGAATTGTTAATAACGTTATAAAGAAAGAAAAAAAAACACGAGCCAATCCGACAAATCATATCAATAAAAAAAAAATAATGGCGAGATAAGAACCTTTGGGCGATCCGCCTACTCGGCTTAAATAAAAAGGTCATTCGCCGTCGATCTGTATAGCTACCCTTTGCGGTTAATCGGTTAATACCCATGGTTCGTGTGCACAAGGACGGAGATGGCTACTAGGAACTGCGAGGCACTGCAAAACGTGTGTCAATCGCGGGCAACCGGTTAGCATTACGCTCGGCGCGGCTAACCTCGCGAACGCAGTTTTCCGAGGAAAAATTCGCTATTGCTTCTCGTGTTCTTCCCCTTCCTTACATCTCTATCTTTCCCGAACGGCGCATCGTTGTAGCCAAAGTGCATGAAACGCGACTCGTGTTGCGTGTAATATAAAAGATTCTTGTGTGTTGATGGCTCTGCCAAATTTCAGTCGTTACAGCTCAATAATGTATGTATGTATGTAGATTATCAAAAAACATCACAGTCAGGTTACTAGGTTTTTAGAGAAGTGTCTGTAAAACACGCCGCACGCGTGTGTCATCCAGCTATCCTGTCTACAAAAGTCACGAATGACGCGCCGGTACTGTATATATTATATATAATCGCCCTTTCCTCATCCGCCCCAAATCTTTTATGCGCAACAAGACCGATTACTACTATCCTGTGTGTAACGTAACCGTCTCTGTTGTTCACCCTCTCAACTCTTAACACATGTGAGAGAAACGTGTATTTTTTTTATCGCGTAACGTCCCGGAATTCTCGCCGTCTCACCGCGCGACGATCGACGAGTAGTCGTCGAACTCTCTCGCCGGGACCTGTGTATCATCGCGCATTTCATCGTGCACGCGGTTACTTCTCACGCGTAATATCACTTCTTGTCAAATAACGCAAGTTTACTGCGCACGGCACCTTCGCACACGACCAGCCGTTGCGCGGCCGAGATGCTGCTGATGGGCACGGGCCCCTCGAGACTGGCCCGCAGTAACGTCAGACGGCTGGGACCGGCGGCGTCGCCGTGATCGCCGAGTCTACCCGCTTGCTTCCTCTCGAAGTACTCGACGATCTTCGAGATGGTCTTGCTCGACGAGCCGATGCCGTTCAGACGGTCCTCCCAGCAGGAATCGCCGCCGCCCAGGCTGGCAATGTCCTCGGACGAGTCCGTGTAGATCGAACTGGTCCGATGATCGTCCAGCAGGAACAGGCTGCTCGCCGCCGAGCTGCTGAGAGTGGACGTGTGCCGTCGATTCGGCGGCTCCGGGCTCAGGTCCTCGCCGACGCAACTCCAGAAGCCCGACTCGCAGCTGCCGCGTCTCCGCGGCTCCCAGCCGTCCCGGAAGAGCGGATGGGCGAACAGGCTCACGGCACCTACTTTGGTAGCGACCTGAAAAAAACACACGTGCGGTACATGTGTCAGTACATGTGGTAATAGCATGGCATCTTCAAACGTTTGCAACAATTCGAAATTTCACACGACTCAACAGTGTTTCTAATTTTAGAGTTGTACCTAATCATTTATGCGCTCAATCTGTGCACCTACCTTTCTCTCCCATTTTTTCCTGGCGGTAGGACTACTCGGTTCGGAATTTGGCTTCTTTCTGTCGAGGATCTTGGCAATGCTATCGTTTTGCGCCGGCTTGAACTTGCTGCACGCGCTGTCGGTGACGCTGGGCCGCACGTCCTCCAACGAGGGTAGCTCCAGGCAGCTGGAGAACAGGTCGCCGAGGATTTTCTTGACGCCGCCCAGTGCGTGAAATGGATTCGCCGTCATCGGTCTGTAATGCGGATCGCGACGGCTGGCGAGTTCGGCGACTCGCCTGGCGGAATGGCATCTCGCCTTGTCCGACGGCGTCGCGTTATCGCAACCTCTCGCGTCCGCCGATTGGCTCCTGAGCTTCGCGGTGCGCCGCTTCGTCGTGCGTCCCTCCCGCGCGATCTCGTCCATGCTGGACATCAGCGTTGAATCGACGGTCGACTGCCGTTTGCCGATGTTGCTCTTCAGCTCCTCCTCGAAGGCCGCTATCATAGTCTCCAGGCTGGTCGTGATTTCCGGAAAGGTCGGCCTGGACTTGGGTTCGTACTGCAAAATAAACGACCGCACCATTTACACAATTTGTTAATAAATAAATAAAAAATTGATAAAATTTCTTTTACCTAATAATGATAAATATATTAAAACATAATATATAATAAATAAAAAATCCGCATCAGATCTTCATGTGCATGCGTGCGTGCGTACTCTCGGTCTGGTAACAGCTATATCAATCTTCCGATCATTCGCACTGGATCCGCGCGCGTTGCATGCCTTTACAGTTAGATATCATCACTCGCTATATACACTCACCGTGCAGCAATTGAAGGCGAGTTGAAGGAAGGCGGGCGGCGGATCGGCGGCCGCGCAGATCTCCGCTACGGCCAGGTAATCGAGGCCAAAGTTATCTGAGCGTGGCAGAACGTCCGGATCCGCGGGCACCCGGCCGATCAGCTCGCACACGACGATGCCGAAGGAGAATACGTCGGACCTGTGGTCGTACCACTGGCCCTTGAGGCACTCGGGCGACATCCAGTAGGGGCTGCCGACGGTGCTCAGCCGGTAGCCCGTGCTGGGATCGGGTATCTTCGCGGCCAGCCCGAAATCGCCCACCACCGCGGTCATCTCGTTGCTGCACTCGTCCCTCTTGATCAGCACGTTCTTCGACGTGAGATCACGGTGGAAGAGGCCGCGGCTGTGCAGATAGGCCATACCGCGGGCCACGTCCCGCGCCAGATTCATCCGGACGAGGTGCGGTAACGGCGTGTGCCGCGACATGATCAGTTGCTCCAGGCTGCCGCCGTTAATGTACTCCGTTAACGCGTGCAGCTGACCCTCGTGCACGCACACTCCCATGAACCTGGAAACGAAGAGAAGATCGATCTTCGGAGTTGCGTCGTTTCGGAAAAACTTTCGACTCGTTTTAACGATATAGAACAAGAGTTCAACATTATCTAGAAAAATATCCTTCGAGAGGAAATGGATGGATCTTAAAAGCTTTTCATGTCTGGCAATTATCTGATAAATCTGGCATATAAAGTGATTAATTGATAAAGATAAAGCCGATGCTATCGGGACGATTGAATTACAATGCACGTATCAAAGATTGCCTATAGACTCTTTAATCGTCTTTAAAATGTAGGACACACTTGCGACCTTCGTTTTCACTTATACTATAAATAGTATAAATACTTTGTCATAAACAGTCGTAAATATCGCAGTGCTCGCGCAAAGTGAAGTAATAACTCGTTTCTAAATACAATCTACTAAAGTATCCCTCTTCTAAGAGAAAATCTCCGTAAGAAATTCTAACTGTAATTCCGCGTTTTAGATTTAAGGATTTAAATGCACTATGAATCACAGAAGGAAAGAACAGCACGGAAGGTTTTCGGATGAAAAGTAGCTCTTTTTGCTTTGACAAATTTTAATTTGCTTTGATAAAATTTATCTAAAAGCATATAATAGAACGGCATAGAGATATAGAGAGGGATAAAATTTCGTACTCGTTACGTAAAGCTCGGACCGTTGAAGATTTAAATGCAATGCTGCAATATTCTCAAAATGGTCACAAGGTAAAGAGGCATTTGTCGCGTCACGCATACGCACAAGTGAATTCCGAACTCGTCGCTTTTATCAATTCAGTGATTTCCAGACGAGATTAGATAATGCGAAGATGAACAAAGGAAGAATAGAATCAAATGGACGAATGATCATAATAACGTTACGTGTCACTTTAATATGTATATCATATGTCTACTTTCTCCGATTTATAAGATATGGCAAACAAGATAAAATATGCGAAGACAAATGTATAAATCAGATAAAAAATAGATTTAAAAAATGTATGCATGACTTATAATCTGAAAAAGCGATCTAGATGAATGAAAATGTCATAGAAAGAATGATTTTGCTGGAAGGTCTAAAAATTTTGCTGAAAATAATTTTGTTGGAAAATCAAGCCGATTACTTGAATATCAAAACGTTTTACAGCAATGCTTATCATTTTTTGATCTCCAACAAAATTATTTTGATGGTCTAGCAAAATTATTTTTGCAAATTTGTTGATCTTCCAATAAAATCGTTCTTTCCGCGTACTTTTATACAATAAATAATTATGCCTGCCAAATGAAGAAAAGATAAAAAGAAATGACAGATATAAATTTTACTAAAACACAAGAAAATATCATTCATGGAATTATCGTCGAATATTACAATATTTGCCATTCATCGCACGCTCATTGAATAATAAAACCAAGTGCAGGTGTGCTTTAAAGATGATTAAAGAGTCCAGGTATCTTTAATATGTGTCTACGTATTGTAATTCAATCGTGACGCGATATCATCGGCGTTATCTTTATAGCAGCTACTACGTATGCTAGATTAGGTCTCGAAGAGAATTACACAGTCGCCTTGCTTCAAGGAAACATCACGGTCTCGTTTATCAAAGGATGCCTTCGGGCAAGACAATATTGCTAAATATTTAATAATGTATAGTATACAATGACAAATATTGCCAAGTATCACATCATAAATCTTTCAGTTCGTTTAATTATAACGCGTAACGAGTAAACATTTCGATTAACTTTGTCGTGTACATGCATAAATAAAATATAAATCAGGAAGTATAAATGTTGAATGTACAAAAAATTTACTGTACATGATAAAATAGCAATCAAATTTCGTAATACAATTTGCATTATAAATCATAATTAACTTTATGAGCACGGTATAAAGGATAATATTACAAGTTTTCACGATGTTTCGTCATTATTGCATGGCGAAACCGCAAATGAGAATTTATATCAAAGAGATTGCCAAGATTGCGATAAAACAATTTGATTATAATCCTGAATAGTCGCTTCGTTTGCATTTCTCCCGCAAGTTAATCGGTGAGTGCACTCTATCGCGTTATCGCGAGGGTAAGATCTTGCATAAACGTTAAGAGCTGAGAAGAAGAAAATCGCGCGTCGTGTCGTCCCGATTTCGAGGCGTTTCACGCCGAGCCACGTCGAGAGGTTTCTCCCACAAGCGCGATGTAGGAGGGAAAAAATAAATAAAGGAGGAGGACAAACAAACCGCGCGAGCGAAAGAGAAATTTCCGGCGAAAGAGAATTTTTCTCGGGGTAAAACACAGGCGGTGTGCATATACACGATGCTCCAGATTCATTTTTTCTTTTTGCCGCGATCAGATAAGAGGAGAAATTGTCGCTCTCCTCGCGCGCGCTTCCCCGCGAGGCTAGCCGCGTTCGCGCGCGATTGATTGCACACAGTAGGAACACTAATTACACCTGCACGTCGAAGAATTGTAAAGGCATAAATGGAAGGCCCAAAGGCTTTAGCATAATGCGATGTAACGAGAGGGGGAAAAAAAAGGATTTCCAGAGATTATACATCTGTGAGAGTGAAAGTCGAAGTGCAGATAAGTCGGACGCGAAGGTACACGTCGATGTGAGCGTAATGCGAATAAGACAAAAACGACTCGCGGGAGAGATGATTGTATAGTCAATCGTTTCTGTAACTGCCGTTCTCTTTACTCTTCCGACCGACTCTTTACCTTACCACCTTTGTGTGCTCCGCGTCTATTTATTCACTTCAAATTGACGGAATATCTAGCTAGTCTTACTCCACGTCGATGTGTGCATTCGCTGTCTGCCGATTTCGCTTCGGGTGACAATAATACAAACGCGCACGAGGCGCGCGTAAGTCGAAAGTCCCGATGCCAAGTGCACCGGGACATGGCCGGGACACGAGTGTCTGATCCATGCCGCGTCATTATCCACTATAGCCGCCGAGCGCCAGAGTGCGACGTTTTCTCTTTCACCCTAGGCTAGGCTAGACGAAATTCATCTTCCGCAAGCCAAATATTATGTAAAAGGGCGTTCGCGCGTGTAACGAGGCATCGGCGAATCGATCGGGAGCGCGTTCGGTGGGGGCAAGAATTATGCGGAGTTCTCTCTCGAAGACGCGGGATATATTTTCGGACACTGTGTGTGTGTATCTCCGGGTTGTTTTCATTCAGTCGTCTCTCGTGAAAGCAATGGCGCGCGCCGATTGTCTTAACCCGGAAAGTCGTTCCAAGAATTATGACTGGGATGCTTCTGTAACGATACTACGGCTGAATACCCGATGCTATCCCGATGTTACGGCATCGATGTTGTTTACGGCCGATTTCTCGAAAGTGATGCGGCGTCTGATTATATTGCAGCAGCGATATACCGTGAAAAACAATCGTGTCAATAATATATTATTAAAATATATTTTTTTATATAACGATTGCGACACAATAGCAGTCAAGAAGCACTACTGTTTTCTTGGAAATAAATATTATTGACAGGCTGAATGTAGCAATAATCGTTGATAAACGACATGGCGATGCCTGCAGGAGATATCTCATTATCTTAAATAATAAAATTTATATTAATTTATGTGTAACAGATTAATTATTTTTAATTGAAAAAAATCGACGTCAAATTAACCGAATAATCAAAGTAATTAAATAATAAGACGCTTGATACTTCAATTATTTTTAACTTTTAAAATTCAATGTAACTAAAAATTTAAAAGTTCAATTGAAATAAATTCAACGCAAATTGAATGTTATGTCATATTATTGCGGCCAGGCGCTGTTTAAAAATACTGATGCCTCCTATTAGAACAGAATCTTGCGCAACATCAACACTTCCTGAAATTAATGCAAGTAGTATAGACTCGAGCACGCTACATAGCGACCCCGACTGCGACGCACCGTCGAGCGCGGGTGTCACGATACACGCGGCAAATGTCGCTGGTGAAGATGATAACTATTTTTACGGCTGAGTCACCCGGGTGCGCAAAACGGAGGATCCTGAGAGGACCCGCGGACTTTCCGCGGAGGCCTCGCAGAGGGAAATGCCAGAAATAAGATCCGCTAGGTCCGCGACGGGTAAACACCGTATCCGAATCTGGGCCAAGCCGTTTATATCGTCGGAATGCGTTGTCGTCGCGGCGCGGCGCGTCCCGTCCCGTCGAACGCGTCGTGTAGCGATGCGTTATGTCATAACTCAGAAGCATTATTGGGATCTCCGGAAATTAAAAAAAAAAATAGAAAACCGAAGAATCGTCTCTATATTCCGAATTTTTCATATCTCAAAGTATGAGTTCGCTTTTAAAAGTTTTAAATATCTCGCGCGATAGATTTTTGCACCAGTTATTCACAGAGATGCAGTATCAAGTTCTAGATGAAAAGTAAACTTATTCGGACGATTGGCAATCAATTAACGGAAATGTTGAGATAGCAATAATTTGAAATATTAAATAATTAATATTCAGTAAATATTGATAATTGATATCGAATATTAAATCATTGAGAAAAAAGCGAATTATAAAATTTTTGAAAAAAATATAACAAAATAATATATTTGATGTTTCTTGCGACGTATGAATGAAATGTATTATATTTATTTTAAAATAAAAAATAAATGTAAGAAATGAAATATCTTTTCTGTCGCGCGGCATAAAATATTATATATACACAGTTGTGTATGTTGGCAGCCACAATTCAGTATTTGACTACACATCTAATTTCACAAGTTATGGAGTGAAAAATGTAGCGTGCTTTATGCATTCCGCACTTAGGATTCTGCTCTCCGCTACGCACCCAGCAAGAATTTTCGCAACGAGTACAACGTGCCGAGCTAACCGCCGTTACCGCTAGGCGACGTATTATGTCGTAATTCGTAACGAGCGTAGTTAAAGCGTAATACCGTTTTTTCTATTTTTTTTTAACCCATTTCAGTGATCTCCCGAGCGAGAGGAATTTCAACGATATAATCGCCGGGCAGTAAATCGAATGTACGATAACGTGCTCTATAATCTGGATTGGTGTCGATTACGGCGACAGGAACACTGCAAGTATACACGGTCGCCACGTGCTTCGGAAAACACACCGTGGAGTCACTTGATACGAGAATCTTGTGCCAGAACTTTGGCACGATGCCGGAAAGAAGGTTAAATTGATTCGTGACAAGAAACAAACGTGAGGCTCAAGCATGAGAGTTTTGCTGTAAACCGGCTGTGATAAATAGTGCAATTATTGGAACAAAATATAGATAATTTTATTAAATATAAAAACTACACAAAGAATTTTTTTTACATTTACTCTGCAAATCATGTTAGTTGTGGGACAATATAGTATTTAGGCAAATTTTACTGTGCACAACAATAAGTATTTTACAGTAAAATTTGTCTAAATATTATATTGTCCCACAATTAACATGATTTTCAGGGTAAATTAAAAAAAAATCCATATATAAACGAGATTTCTATATAGAAAGTTATAAAATGTACCGACTTAATAATGACGTGTTGACGTCGAGGAATCTTTATAATTAGAATTGATTGCTGTCGGGAAAATCAGAATATATTGCTACATCGAAAATGCATCGCGCACGTTTTATTTCCTCCATCGTTCTCGTACCAGTCTATCAATCTCGAATTTTGCTCGCAATGAAATAACTCGTGCGAAAGAGGATCGATGCGTTTGCCCGCAACATGGAATTAACGGGTGTATAAAAATTATTCATTTTATATCGTCCTCGTCGAATTCGGCACGTACCGCGGCCGAGCGATTTTCTTCCGATCGGCAAAACGGCAGCGTTTCACCGGCAAAAGTGAACCGGATTCGATTTCCGCGTCTCACAACTCACCTGAGTATGTTCGGATGGCTGAGCTTGTTCATCAGCTGGACTTCCTTGAGCATATTCGGCCTGTTCGCCGCCAGCTGATTCATCTTGAGCACCATCACCTGACTCGTCACTTTGTGAGTAACCTGGAAAAAAAACGAGGTGAGCACGGAGGTTAGTGACATATTACGGTGTGCCGTCGCGCGTCGCGCTTCGCGCTGTTATATTGACGTATTAGATCATACGACAGCTGCATACGTAACCGTACCGATTCTTCTTTGCGTTACGAATTTCGCCGAGGTCACAAGCGCAAGAGCGCCGTTCGTCGACCGGTGTGTCAAAACTACCTCAAGACACACATCTTCCGCAAGATCTTCGTCGAAATCTTACAGAGAATTTATTATTTTTATCAAATTAATATCAATATATAATTAAAGGATCGAGAGAATGAAAGTTTATTATTTAGAAGTAAAAGAAATTGTATTAGAATTTAGAATAAAATATCTTCAACCGATATAGATATATGTACGATAAAATTGTGCGTATTATGAAACTCTTGAACACATGATTTTGCATATATTTTATTTATGAACAATTGTCATACCGTGCTTAATCCGCAAGTTAATTACAGGATATAAAATTTCTAATTCGATTTCTGTTTTACTAAACCGCGATTAAGACAGAGGCCCGACCCACATAAATCGCATCTTCGTCTTCTAAGAATGACCTTAATGTTCCGAGCTAATTTCATCATGATTGTGCGAGATGTTTACACGTTTATACGTTTACACGTTTCTCGCCAAAACTGATGTAAGTACAGGATGTACATCAAAATCTTTCAACATTTTGATATGATAATATAGAGCCAAATCTTTTCCTTTAAATACAAGAGACTATATTATTGTTTCTCTTGTGTAATTTTAAAAGTTCCAACAATTGAATCTTAAATAAAAGTTCTGCCATTTTAAAACTTATTTAACATTAATTTAACAAGATAATGTTAATCAAATTCTCTTATCACTAATGCAAATATATATTTAAAAAATCGTTTTTTTTTTAAGACTCGGTTGAAAATCTTCATCTTACATCATGTACAATATTGACGAGCCACTTAAGTACTCAAAGACGATGGCGAAATGCGTTTTTGATTGCTGAACAAAACGAAGATTTCCGTCGCCGTTTTTCACAAGTAACACGCGCGAGAGAACGCCGAAGCGATATTCTCGCGAAAGAGAAACTTATTAATGAAACTGTGGCATCTGGCCGGCGTATAAGATGCGCTCGTAAAGGCGCCGCGCCAGCCGTGCCGCTCGCGGCATCGTTCGACGTCGAAAATGGACATACGGACCGCAATTCCTTTATTGAGCCTTGAATAACGCCGCGCGATTTATTGCCTAATGAGCGCAATCGCCGCTTCGTAGGCGCAATCTCGATTATCGCACAGACTCTCCGCCGAGGAAAAAAACGGCCTCGGTGAGGAAAATATTATTGGGATAGGATTCAATTTCACGATTCCTGTATTATGCTATAATAAGTCGAGAAATAGCTGGAAATCGGGTCTACCGTGGAATTATCTAATGGGATAAGCATACATGAAACGCTTACCGAGGAGATATTAGCACCAATTCCGTCATGGAAACTATCATTAAAATGTATCTATCTCTCGGAGAACCTGTTACTAGAAATCTTACGTTGATAAAATGTGTATACTGTGTTATATATCGCATGCTATATATAACACCAGACATTAAAAGAGCTTAATTATCTTTCCAGTTATCGCCAGCAGTCCCTAATTAGAGAGTCGTCCCCCACCGAGCCGCGCGAAACGCAGTTGTAAATTTTTTGAACAGCGATAACGCAAGCGCGAATCTCGCATTTCTATACACGTACGTTATGCGCACGTTCTCGCTCGCTAGATAAAACCGCAAAGAATTTTGACGCGACGTATCTCTCATGACGGGCGTGAAAAGCATCTTCCGAGAATCCGAGGAGATGCTCCGGGAGGGTTAAGGACCACTGGGATTACATCAACTTGCTCCAGTCGATTCTCTCGCGCACGGCGGCGCTGAAAGACGTAATGCACTCTTTCACGCATTCCAGCGCGCTCTCGCGCGTTTTACCGTTCATCTCGAATTTCGTCTCGGCTCGAAAAAGAAGTCGGCCGGAGATGAGACGGGAAAGGTGATGAAAATGGAGACGCGAAACGGGAAACACACGAGTGAGAGAAAAGAGCCTTTCTCTCTCTCTCTCTCTCTCGCAGCCCGGCGTCGCGTCGGCGCGCGAGATGAAAATTTCGGGGGGGTTAAAAAGTCGAGAATAATATCCAAGGGGAATCTGGCTAGGATTCCTCGGCGATGCCTTGGCTTGGCTCACAGTTGGGTGGCGGCCAAACGGTGACGAATACGAAAAGAGACGGAGAAGTCCGAGTCGCCGAGACGTAAACAGAACGATCGCGAGTCGTTGTTGCCTCGCGACAAAAGGGAGGAGAGATAACGTAAAAGAAAAAGCGCCGTTTGATTTTTACAGCGTGCCGACGATTTTTATATTTTCGCGCAAAACCCGCTCGGGCCGAAAAATCGAACATGCAGTCATATACATCCATTCACGTCGGGTCACGCTCGTTCTCGCCGTTTCCTGAAAACCTAACCTTTCACGCCGTTTCTTTTTCTTTCTTTTTTTTTTACACAAAACACGTTTTACGAGTTTTTCTTCTACGTATAGAATATGTAGAATCCTAGCAATATACCTTTCGTTTAGAAGGGGGAAGTTTTATTGATCGATCTGCGATCAATCTTGGGCGAAATTGTTCGCAAAAAAGGGTCATTCGTTTCGCAGCAAATTTTTAATACGTCAATACATTAAACATCGCGGGCAGATTACTTCCCATTTCCAATTAAAGTAACGGAGGACGAATCGTAATGATACGTATATATATATATGTATATATATATATTTAGCGTCTACACGATCACGCGACGCTGCGGTCGGCGTTGTCAAGCGAATGAATAAAAAGTATTTGAAATATAAGTCGGTCGCGATCGAAACGCTTCACCGGTTTTCTCCGCGCGCAAGGCTAAAAAGATCCTCTACTTTAGCGTCGAATAAATTGTCATTAATACGCGACGCGCGAAGCCGTCCATGCCTGGGGACCTCCATTTACTCCCTCCTTTATTTCGTCGCAATTTGCGACGAAATTACGAGAGCGTATATAGCAATTGATCCTGCCTGAAGGCGCGCGCGCGCGCGCGCGTGTAATAAACAGATTGGTCCGTAATGAGGTGCACGGTTGCATTCCCGGAGATCCGCCAGACAGCCCAATTTCCATTCTTCACGAAAGCCAAATATGCGAATAAATACGCTCGCAAAGGTATATTTATAACAGCGGTATACGGCGGTGGCACTCGATCACTCCAGTACACGTTTAAAAGTTCAAATATACCACTCTCTCTCTACGTATTACGCCTCATTATATCGGGAATTCATTAATCATAATTACCAAGAAAAAGAATTCTATATGAAAATCAGGATGATCGATGATTCGCGCGCGTGTCATTTAACGTTTCCTCTTCCTCTTCGATAGATTGTATGCGCCACGGCAAGAAGAAAAAGCGATCGCTGGTAGCGAGTTCAAGCACACACACAGGCAAGCTAATGAATCAACCTATCCCGGGAGGATCGGACGATCCTCCCGTTTGGTCACCTGTGCGCGCCGATTCATTTGAATAATTCCCATTGTCTGGAAAGCTTCGGCCTTGCGTGTTTCCTACGCACTACGCGCCATTGTGTTTACGACCGCGGAGAGAAAGCACGCACGGTAATTACATTGTAGCGGACGGAGTGATTAATGCCTCCTTGAGCGCCGTAATGCGTAATGCGAAACACGTTTCGCGCCTTTTCACCCGCACGTGGAGGCGGCCGCGTATATAAGGACGATCGGCACAAAAAGGAAAATTGAATAAAACGAAAGCTGGTTGCCGTTATACAAAAAAAAACAAAAAAAAAACGAGGAATCAAGATAGCGACTGAGAAATATCAATTTAGAGAACCAAGAACGATCAGCTTCGATTCTCTTACGGGTCGAAGCAAAAAAAATTATCTTTTTAATACATTTATTTTCATCTTTATCGCAATTGCAAGGCAACAACATTGGTTATCTTAATCTCGAACGACAACAAATAAAATGCCAATAGATTTATCAGACCAGCTAAATGCAAATATTTATTTCACAGTGATTTTTGTCTTTTAATTAGAAAGCTATAACAATTTCAAATCATTCACTTTCATCGTCTCCGCAGTGAGAAATGAAGTCTTTTTGGTTGAATGAAATGATGGTATCGATTTCCGAGATGATTCAGTCAACGAGAGATTCGTTTTACACGAACGGAGAAGAGCGAACACTCCGTCTATCAAGTATCGTTCCGGGAAGCACGGTGCAATTAAGAGCAGCGAACCAATTAGCAAGCGCACTGGACTTTGTAAGCTCGAAAGCCCTCTCTGCAAAGGTCTGCCTCGTATGTTCGCAATCACCGTCAACCATCGCAGTCAACCGTCTAATTATAAATGCGCCAAAGAGATGAAAAGTGTCAAATAGGGGAGTGGAGAAGCGAGACTCGGAGAGGATATGTACCTACTTGAACTTTATGCGTGTCGCAAAATATAGTTCAATATTTATAACTTTATAATGTAATCTAATATTGTAACTTTGTATAACGTAATTTTTTTATTTGAATGTAAAAAGAAATAAAAATTACATGGTCTTTTACTTTATAAGTGTGTTTTTTTTTTGTAATAAGTTTAATATAGCAATATTTTGCTCTTTTCATTAAATCAATTTCAGTAATCTTACCTTTAATAGAGGAAATGTACACGGAGAATTTTATTTTAAAATTTACCCTCAAAATCATGTTAATCCATAGTATTTCGACAAATTTTATATGATTTTTACTATTTTTTTAAATATATACTATAACAAATTTATTGCAGTGCACAGTAAAATTTGTCGAAATACTATATTGTCCCACGATTAACCAAATTTTCAGAGTAAATTTTAATAGAAAATTTTCTCCGTGTATTATAAGAAATATGTTGCTTAATTAATTATAATATACATATACCACAAATATACGATTTGCTTTTTTTACAGAGA